CCTTTTTCCTCATGCATACTCTGAGGTTAATCACAGTAACTATTCTAATAGAACTGTTTTCAGTGTTAAATGGATAACGTATATATAAAGCTCCTAAGTAAGCCTTCAGGAAATATTAGTTCTTGTTTTTATTATTCAGTGTTGAAATTGCATAGGTCATCTTTGTTGATTTACATACAGACAAATAGCAAAGGGCATTCATGACATCCCTCTTAAGTTTAAACAGTTATAATTTTAGATCTCTTTCTTTCTTTGCAAGTGTCACTCCAATAAGCATCATCTTTTATGATGCATATTTTATTAAGTTTTCTGGCTGAATGATTTCTTTCTTTATAAGGTACTTTAAATTATCAAAGCTCTTTCATATAGATAATCTCCATTGACTGCCATAAGGAGTCTAGGAAATTGATATGGTTGATATGCCTGTCCCTGTGTTGCTGACAAGGAAACCGAGACAAAGAGACACTGAGTGAGTCTCTCAAAGCTACAAAATGGTTACTGATGGGATATCTTTAATTCCTGCTTGAGATGGTGAAATTACTATTTAATTATTAAAGTCTTATTCACTACAGGGACTCAGAAGTAGGCACAGAAATCAATTTCAGAAAATCACTCAGCAGTAACTGAAAAATGTTTTCAGTGAGTTGGAAAATCAGACTGAATAATTACTCCAGACTTAGGTTATAAAACCTAGAATTTCTTTGTTTTTTAAAAAATCTCGTGCATTCTTTTTTCTTATGCCATTTTTGGCATAGAATCTTGAGGATGCCTAAGGCCATCAGAAATTAAAGTAACACGTTTTTGTGGTTATTTTTAAAGCATTTCCACATACCTTACATTTTTCCCCTTGGGAGTATGTCAGGAAATCATGCCCCTAGGAATGAATCATAAACTCCTCCTCCAAAGGCCAGGATATGCTCCTTGCCCATCTGGGGCAATTCTAGCTAACTTTTTCTTCCTAGCGGGGGAAGGAGTGAACTTCCTTTTTGGTTCCCTTAACTGTATCATGAGTTTTTATTTGAGTAGTCAGAGAAAAAGAACCAAAGTAATTCAGACTTCTAGAAACTAGTTACATGGGACCACATCACACTCTCTTGGCGCAGTCACCATTCTCCAGTCATCGCTGCTACCACCAGAACCACAGCAACTACCCCAGCCAGCCTGCTGACTTTCCATCCTGGCACTGTTCTGACTCTGTGTGGTACTGGGGTGGTCGTCAGAATCCCGAGACCCTGGAGCATGCACACCCTGGAAGAGCATGGGAGTTAATAGAAAATTATAGAGCAAGGTTTGGCTGTCAAGGGTGGAGGCTGGTAGACAATTTTGAGGTGCGCCATACAAGACTTCTCAGATGGTCCCTTCAAGATCAAGCCAGCTAACCACAGTGGTGACCAAAATGGAACAAAAATGTCCTTACAATGCCTTCCATCCTTCAGATCCCCATTCTTTTGTGTCATTCACAAAACTAAACTACCTGCATGCCAGCCTGGTCTTCAACTCTGCTTTGAGGGTACAAAACCCAGATTAGGTTTTTTAAAAAAAAAAAATTTAAGAGAGATTTTTTGCTATAGCGTATTTGTGCTCACCAGAGAGACAGAGAGAAAGAAAGTGAGAAATCACCCCCCAGGGGGGATGGCCATGCCACAATCCCTTCTCCTCCATTCTCCTCTTGGGATTCTGGGCACGCATGCACATGTGCCCGGTGTGAGTTTGAAGCCACCGGATCTGGGACTCCGACTGCAGTCGACTATGTGGGAGCCCAGAGATGTAACCATTATGCCATCCACTGGTCCCCTAGGCTAGGTTTTATACTGAACTGATGAAAGTATGCTTGGGGAAGTCAATATTGTCTTATAGTGTATCTCCAACTCGACAACTATTTATGATTTTTCCCATTAGAGAGGGAATGTGGTGATTGAGAGAAAAACCTTGAAAAAAGAGATATGGGTTCCTGTTTTCCCAATAATTAGTTATGTGACTCAAGCTACCCTATTTAACCATTTGGACTTCAGTGCCGAATCTGCAAAATAAGGTGATATATTGGTTACATTGTTTCTAAGATCCCTTGTAGTCCCACATTTGTACATTTGTGAATAAAAGCAACGGGGAGACAGTTTAGAGTAGCCGCTTTCCCCTTCATTAACCCTCCCCCGATGGTTTGGGCTAAAAATATGGCAATACTTCAATGCAACTTTAGACAGGCAAGTGAATCAGCCCTCTGAATGTCTAGATTAGAGAATGAGAAGCTATTCAGAACCTCAAGAAACAATAATGCTGACAAAACGAGAACAAGCCAGCTTCTTTGGGAGTCAGCTAACATTAGCAGGGCTGCAGCATTAAGATAAGAACAGAGTAATGAGAAACGGGTTGCAACCAACTTCCTTGACTGCGTTCCAGCGGTCACTCAGGGATTCGCCACATCCCTAACAGGGCTTGATAAATGGACTCCAAGTGTTGAACAATTTTTTTTTTTCTCTCTTTAGAAGTTACTTGGAAACTTGGCTTGGGCAAATGCTTGTACTTTAAGAAAATAACAACAAATCCTGCAAGTATCAGGGGCAGGAAATGAAAACATTAAAAGGAGACAGGCTTTCCATAAGTCCCAAATCAAGGAGTATTAATCCAGAAAAAGATGGAAGACCAAGATAGTTAAATCAACACAAAACTCACCAAACATGCAAAATAAACAGGTTATATAGCAAATGAGGTTGTAGACGTTATTATTTATAAACCATGTAAGACGTTTACAAGATAGATGACATAGATATTCTTATCTCCATTTTATATATGCAGAAAAAAAAAATCTCAGCCAGGTAAATTACATAACTGGCGACTCGCAGCTAGTTAGCAGCAGAGCTGGCTGCTTAATTTTTTAAATGTAGGTTTACAGTTTATATCCATCAAGGCCATATGCATGTAGTTTACATGTCAAATGTAAGCAAAGATGGTAGGATTCTCCATCTCGCTGTCTTTTGTCCTTTGACAAAGCTTTTCAGTTGAGTTTTCAAAAGCTTTCACTTGAGTTTGCATTTGGCCATCATGTTTCTTATGTTTAAGTGCTTTTATCTTCATGGTTGCTCTTACTATTATTTTTAAAAAAGTTCTGTTCTTGTATCATGGATGCAATATTTCAGCACTAAGAGGATATTAATAACAGCTCTTTTTTCCTTTTTCTTTTTCCTGGCCCTGTTTTTCTGAATTTTTTTTTTCTTTCTCTCTTTCAGTTTGGTTTGGCCTCTGCCTTTCGTAACATAGGCTTATAAAATATTCTGTGATCCTTAGTAGTCTGTGTGTAATAAAAAAGGCATTAACAAACTAAGTAGAATGTATGCATGCATGTGGAGGGTGTGGGATAGGGTAGGATTGCTAGATAAAATACAAGAAGCTCAGTCAAATTTGAGTTTTAGATAAAAAATTATTTTTAGTATATCTCAGATATCTCATGGGATACACACACACACACACAAACTACTCATTGTTTATCTGAAATTTCAATCAACTGTGCCCTCTGTATTTCGATTTACTAAATCTTGAAACCCTTGGTGTGTGATTCACAGACTCCTAGTTTCTGGCGACTGGCTATGGGCTGTGGACTCTCAATCGAGAGACCGGTTGTACTTCACTGAATGCCTCCTTCTGAACACTGCACCTCCTTCCCATTCAGTTCTCCTTAGTCCTAAACTCTTCATTTTATCTCTCCAGAGAATAAACCTCTGGCTTCTACCTCCAGGGAGAGGGAAAGCCATGTTGTTAGAGGACCTTGTGGACTCTGAATGTTCGGTAAGCCATCTTTTGCACTGTCTCCTTAAGATTTGAACGTCACATCCACTTTTTGTCTCTAAGATTCTACAGGACAAATAGCTTCCTTCTCAGAGTTATCCTCGGAAGGTCTGGCATTCCACTTCTGCTTTGCTAGGTTAGTTGTCATGCCTTAGTCTGCCTTTACTTTACAAATTGATCAGTATTTCTTCTCAGCCGTTGTGTGGCTTCCTTTGTCTCCTTGCAAGTTTATGTCCGTTTTTTCTTTAAATCTATTTAGTATCATTTTAATGGAGCTTTAGGAGTGAGAAAACATAGACAATTTGGGCTCAATACACCAATTTTAACTAGAATGCCAAAGAGATTTAAATCCTGACTAATATAACTACAAAGTTTACTCCTTCTACTCTATCATGGAATAATCCAATCAGAAGAATTCAACAATAAAGTCCTGTGTCATAGACTGCCAGCGATCCATGCGAATATCCTTCCTTCCTCTGTCCCTTCCAAGGTATGGTCATGCTCTGATCCCTTTCCTCCTCCAGTCATCTAGCCCATCAGATCTGAGGCACCCACTACGATGTGGGACTGGGCTTCTTTTCAGCAGTGCATTACAACTGGTCACAGAACCAGTCCTGGAATCATTTTTTAAGGGGGGGAAGTTAGTCTAAGGTAGGACTGTGCATGTCAGCAGGGGAAAAGATTTCCAGGCCACCGAAACAGGTGGTACCTGATGGTGCAGTTGCCACTGGGAGTGGGAAGGATAGAATTTCCAGTTCAGAGAGAGGCTTGCACTTTGGGTAAAAGAGGGAAAACTCTTCCAAGAAAAAAAGAGGAGAAGCAAGAAACAAAGGCTTGACTATCTAGGCAATCCTCATCAACAAATATTTTCCATTATCACTATTACTGCTCTAACAGAAATAATCTCCTAAAATAACATTATTAAACAGTATCTAAAATGAGAATGCTCTACTTAGTTTCAGAGTTAAGAGCCCAAAACAAGGCTCATAAGACAGAAGCAATATATAAATCTTGTGATTGCAGGTGATTCTTTTGGTTATACACTCTTCTATAATGAACTTCATTTAGATGAGGGGAAAACAACAGCCAAAATCTTAGCTCATTTACACATTAATATCAATGCTCGAATAACAGGCATCCCCCAATTTAGACCTGAAAATTAATTACAGGTTGGAACTTTAGATATTCATTTGTCAAATAGATCAAATGCCAATACCTACTCAAAGTACAGCGTGAGATCTGTTGCCAATATTGACTGCTTCAAAAGCTGCATAAGGTCACTATATTCCTTGGAGGACAAATTAGCAAAGATGTTATGACCCTGTAATGAGAAAGTAAAAAGTCACACACACACAAAACCATTAAATCTGTTGTTGTTTGCATGTTTTTTTTTCTATATTAAAAAAAGGTAGTTCTTTAAGGATGATGACATTATCAGAAAAAGAAAAGCTGAATGAAATTTCACACAAATATAAACAGATTCCTTGGCAAAAAGTGTAATGATTTTTGAGGCGATCTGCTGTGGAACACTTTATTATATGTTTAGTTTTTTTTAAAAAATTATTTATTTTTATTTAATTCTTGGTACACTTTACTATATGTTTAGTTTTTTTTTTTAATTATTTATTTTTATTTAATTCCATTTGTTATCATTATTATTTCCAATTTGACCAGACAGAGAAAGAGAGAAAGGGAAAGTGAGATAGCAAGCCACCAGGCCCAGGATTAGAACCATAGTTGGCCATTTGGGAATCAGCGCCCTTAACTACCATGCCACCTGCCAGCCTCTAGTCTTTTTTTTTTTTTTTTTTTTAAAGAAAGTTTTTTGATTAAGCCCTTGCTGGAGAATGAATAAAACCAGAGGGAATCAGAGAGAGATAAAGGGAGAAACCAGGGGGGTTAGCCACTCCAGGGCGTTAACCACTCTGCAGACCTTTCCCCTCCATTCTCCTCTTGGGATTTTGGGCACACACACCTGGCACGAATTTCAATCCGCCAGGTCTGAGACTCAAACTATGGTCGACTACATGGTAGTCCAATGACATAACCATTATGTTATCCACTTGTCCTTAAACAGAAAACTCTGGGAATCCGCCATGAGAGCTGAGGTCTAGTGATTTCAGAGATAAGAGCAATGAAGATGTTCTGCTGAGAATTTACACTGGTAGAGCCTCTGTCTCCTTCTCTCTCTCTGTCTCTTTCTGTCTCTCTGTCTTTTCATTTTTCTATTAAAAAAATTTTTTAAGGTAAAGTTTTTTCTTGGCTCTGAAATTTTCCTTT